TTATTTTGTAGGTATGATTCCTTACATTTCTCTTCTGTCTCTCTCATGCTGGCGGCCGACGTCCCGTGTAAGCGACCTCTTGTTCGAGTCTCTTAGTTTCTGTTGCTTTTCACCTGTCCCTCCTTGTCACCTGTCCCTCCTTGTCACCTGTCCCTCCTTGTCACCTGTCCCTCCTTGTCACCTGTCCCTCCTTGTCACCTGTCCCTCCTTGTCACTTCGTCTCTTCGAGATGCTAACGCTGCTTCTTTCGAGCTAGCTTCAGCGGGCTGGACATCAGAGACCTTTCGCTCCTTTTGGGTGATGATTAATTTAAGACTTTGAATAATTTAGACCTTCTGACTTGCTGGCGATGTTTTATTTTTGAACTCCGAGTCGAAATAGCTTGATAGCGGAAGCGCTAGTAAACCATTCTACTACGCAAGTTCAAACTGCAGCATAACTTATAATAATAAAAATTGTGGCGTAACCGATTACTATATATCTTTACAGTCACAGCATTGTTTTTTTTTACTTTTTTACTAGCACAGAGTATTTTTATGTATCTAATGGATAAAGCTGGGAAATTTTTTATTGGAATTCGGAATGGACAAGTTTCAATCTTGAATTCGGATACAAAAAATTAATTTGCAGGACCGCCACACTGGTGTGCTTCACTTGTGTATATGGTGTTATTGGGACGGTCATAATGCGAGTTTTAATTAAACAGTCATAAGGACGGAATCGGACCAAAGACATAAACTTCTACTTGTTTGTCCATAAAGAGTACTCATAAAATAAGATTGCATATCACTAATTACATAGATTAATTGCCTAGACGAGTGCATGGTAGGTTGCCAATCCAATTCTAGTTGAAAAGATAATAAAAACACTTGAGTATTTTTTCTATTTTTAAAACTATTTTAAGCCCATTTGGGATCATTTCAGTCAGTTATTTCTTCGAATTAATGTATGTTACAACTGAATAATCGCACGCGCAACTGAATCGGTAATGCATGTATTTTCACAAAATTTAGGCTAAGAAAGCGGTAGCTATAGCAACCGCAGGAGCTTAGCCGGAACATGAATTCAAGGTGTCACATCAGTGAACATGTAAGCTTATTTAGAAAAATAGATAACTAATTAGCTGATAGCATTATCGAATAACTCTGGAAAAAGTTGATTAATCAGCAAGAAATTGCATCTCAGCTAGGAAACTTTAACAGAAGCAGTTTCCTCATAACTCATAATATGCTAGGCTGTTATTGACTCGGCTCTTTTATAGATATGGTCTAACTTAAGTGAAGTGCTCACTGTGTCTGTGACTTCCATAATATATTCAATTACGGAATTTTGATGCCTTCAAAACCATTACCGAAGGCAACATCAAATCCGTATTATTACTGTTTTTTATGAATGGTAACTTTTGAAATGATGTGGTTTTATAGTGTTGAGGTTTACAGTCGAAATTAATTGAAATGATCGTTAGAAAAAGATTTTGATTTATGCGAAAGCTAAGATCCGTCAAGTTTATTAGTAGATGAAATGCCGGTGGAATATTTGCATATGGCTTAAGATTGGAAACAGGAATATGAAGGAAAAAGACGAAGCATTTAAAGCGAAGCCATGTGTATTAATGAGGTGATTGCAACTAAGCAGCAACTTTGCAAGCGAATTTGCATCAGGACAGGTAGGAACTGGAATAACTATGGAAAAGACTGGAGAGACTGAGTGGAAAGTGTGATATACTGAAAAGTGTGTTTTATAAATGAACGTTCTTGATATATTTCAGTTAATTATTTACAGCTTTGCAATGCTATTTCAGGAGGTGAACTATATACTTCATGACATGGCGCATGAAACTACATGAATTTTTTGATACAATATGGTTGAAAGTTCTGTCTACAAGGCTGGAAAATATCTATTCATTCAAATCCAAATCATCAAATCTACACAACTGTTCAACAGACCGATATATAAAATCTACACAACTGTTCAACAGACCGATATATCAAATCTACACGACTGTTCAACAGACCGATATATCAAATCTACACAACTGTTCAACAGACCGATATATCAAATTTACACAACTGTTCAACAGACCGATAGATCAAATCTACACAACTGTTCAACAGTCCGAGATATATTCAATAGCATATAAGAGATCATAACCTCGCTGGCTGTGGGACCATCAACCTACTTGATCTTTACTGTCGCATCATTAGGGGAGAATTTATTATTCATTGCATTTTTGTCATTCGCTTGATGATTAATGACGGACAAAGATTAATTGTTGGAAATTACAGTTATAAATATTATTGATGACGATAGCTGAATTATTTGCTGAGTGAATTTTGTCAGTTGGTAATGATAGGCTTGGTGAGACGGTAAGATCATTTATTAAATGATAATGTTAACTAACCATTCAATTGTCCCTTTGAAGACGATCCTCTTTCACTATGCGATGTGTGTTTGAATCAAAGCCTTCCTAATGAAAAACTTTATAGTTTTTGGCGGGCAAATTAAATATGCATGGTAAGCAGTACGATGTATAAGTATATAAGTTTTATTCCGGGATGTGCACGTCCTATCCGCATTGCGATTGCAACCGATCTCTACAAGTATAATTTTATATGGGTAGAAATCTATTAGAGCGCCTTGTACTCGGCACTCTACCTGTCATATACGGGTAGAGAGCCGTGTGCGATCCATTAATGGATCGTACACAGCTGTGCAAAAGAAAATTGCCGATGTATTTTTTTAAATCTCTGATTAAGCATTTCGTTGTGTGCATGGTAATCAGAAGTTATCTTACTAAATATAACTTGAGGTTCGGTATTTTTTTTATATTATAAATAAATTTATGGCTCCATTATTGCTAGCTCTTTACTAGTTAGGCAATTATATAAATTAAATTACATGCGTACATTCGTGCAGTGCATGAAAACTCAAAAATTAAATGGTTTGGCCAAGTCTGGATTTTTTTGTCTAAAACTTTAAACCTGAATTTATAAGTAACCTTTATATAGTAACTAAAGATGAAAATTAATTTCATTGTATTTATTAATTTACCTCAAACCAAAATAACCTCTTTTTCAAAATCGAGTCCCTCCTACGACCTGATGAAAAATCAAACTATTTATAATATAAACTTTCATCCGTGCCACTCCGAAGGTTTCAGCGATTCCGCACCGTAATTCCACTCCTTTCGCATAGTAAGTTTACATCTCTTGACAAATATAAATCATTCTAATCAATGAACACCACACAGGACCGATGTCGCATGTGATAAATCTCCTTGGATCCAAGTTCATAGCTCCACCTGTGCAGTTTACTTGTATCAACACACATCAACCGGACATTGCAACAAATTCGAGAGTGTTTAGCATGGCTTTCGCTCACTACCGCTGAATTGCCTAATTGTTCGATTGACAGAGGGTCTTCGATACTCACGATGCTACTTTGGATGAACTTCCCGAGTCAATGCCTCTAATTTCAGTTTAAAATGAGCTTGAGGACAACTGTAACAATTTACATGTAATTTTCTCGACATGGAAGAAAGAAAAAATCCTAATGGCAACTTAACTACGAATATCTCTCGTGCTCTATTTATAACGGAAAAAATAATATTGTCTGTAATTGTATTTGCTACTATAATTCCGGTATAAATTAAAATTACAAGTCAAAATTAAGGTGTTGCTCAATTTCGTCTAAAATTTGTGCTTCGTCTGATAGTTTTCATCTCCGACCTCCAGCAGAATAATAACCGAGAAGAATTGTAAGATTTCATTTGATTTCTGCTTATATTTAGCTTAAAATAGATCGAAGTGTTTCACTTTTTCTTCCTCTAAGGATAGTTAGAGATTAGAGATTAAAACTACAGAAACGTACCGAAAATTACCCGATTAAAATTCAGGTACTATCATTGCTTTTGCCGGATAGTTGCAACAATCTGTCTAAAGTTGTACTGAGGCTGCTTGGCCACAGGAACAAATCAAATTTTGGTCATTGTATCCTTTTCGATTTTGTTGTCGCCAGAGATAATGAGACAACTTGGCCGAGCCGAGTCATACCGAGCTTGCAAGTTGCCTATAGCGGCTGATCTTCAAACCCTGAGCCGAAGCGGACTATGAGCGGCTGGCTCACGCGATCCCCGAGTCCTGGGCGGCACCTAATGCAGTGTTGGGACCGCATCTAAATCGTGCTTTGTAGCGCTTCCATTAGAAATTGGGCCTGCCTCAATTGAATGAATTGATTACTTCTAAAATCTATAGGAATATGCAAAACGTATTTCACGAGCCAGGCCGACACAGTATAGGGATGACTGCAGCTTCTTTCTCAAGACATTTTTGTCGAGACCGCGCCACGGACGATAAACTGTACGTTGGTGCTGCGAGCTCACCTGTGTGTTTCCTGTTGCTGCGCTCAGTGTCGCGAGTTTATAAGATTACAACGGTTACCTTAAAAAGTTACATGTTCAATGAGGTTGACTTTACATACAAAAGCAATTCTTCGTTTGCGAAAAAGTAAGTAGAAATCATTTAATAATGAAATAGGATTTTTTTTCTCTAAAAAAAGTTGTGACTCCTTGGGGGAGCCGGTGGTAGATTTTTGTTTTAATCAAATATACTTCTCTTTTATAATGGTAGTGATTTACGTTTGTATTGCTGGATCATTTCAACTATTAATGCAGCAGTTTCAGAACTCTTCATTCCCCTCCAGTTTGTCAAATGAGCTTTACCTTTAATTTTCCACCACTTCTAATTATTGCAGTTCAATTACACTTCAAACTGCTTACTACACAAACGAGTTAGTTCTATTTTAAATTTTTGAATGGATTTTCACCATCACTACATAAATTGCGTTGAGCAAGAGGAGATTTTCTGCAAATGCATAAAAGTGAAATATTGTTTGGAAAAAGGTAGATTCAGGTCGGAAGAATGGCAAAAAGCATTTTCGAATGTTTTTTTTTCGAATGATTGCATATGAATCGAATTTTTTCGACTCATAAAATTTTCAGCCATACGAGTTGGCAGGAAAGTACGTTTAACAAATACGGTTAACACGAGTTAATCACACAGGGGTGATTCACTCCACCAATAAGAAGCCATTCCTCTTTGAGTATCGCTATGAGGATCATGGGAAGTACCGCAGTACCGCACTTTATAAATTCGCAATTTAGCCTCATGGCTCATCTATTCATATCACAAGCCAATGGCAAGTTACTTTTTTATAATTTCCATCTTCAATTTTATTACGATAGTTCTTCATGCATATTGTAATTTTGAGATCTATACTGTAATTACTGCATACTGTAATTTTGAGATCTATACTTTCAATGCTGCCTAGCTGTCTTCAGCATTCATTGTTTCTGTCCAGTCGTTCTAAGAGGGATTCCGCCAAGGTTATTTTGAACACTGTCATACCGAGGTTTGGTAACAAAGATATCTTCTTCCGAGCTGTGATCTTGCGAGCTCCCAAGCGTCTGCAGCAGCGGCTTGTTGTTGGTTTCTGGCAGCAGCAATATCAGGAAGGCTGCCAGACCGGCGAGAATGGCGTAGATGGTCAGGGGCAGCCATAATAGGCCTGCAGGCTGGAAAACACGCGGATAGATAATAAGTGATTAACTGATGTTTTTCCTATGCATTCAACTGAAATTCATGACTTCTGACTGTGATAAAAAAATTAAGCAATGCACAGTTTACACGATTTTTCGTACTCTGAACCGGCAAACGCCACAAGTTTCCGATCATATAATTTGGAATTTGACAGAATTAATCATCGTTCTTCTATTGAACGCGGACGTAAAATTTTGGCAACAGAGAACTTGTGTGATTGAAATATTGTACGGATAGAGACGATGCGCACCTCTTGAGTAAAAAATGCAAATAGCCAGAATTTCATTTATCTATCGTTCATATTAAACCTTTTTTATATATATTTTTATGGGGTAATTGCAGAATTTTAGATATATATCGGTTCAATTTGATTGCCTTATCAAAGTGAAAAGTTATTAATGAAGCGCGTTTACACAAAAAGTTTGCTATTGCGTTCAATATATGACTTTTTCGACTAACGGAATCACAAAGAAACTATAAAACTATTAATGGCTTACGTAATGAATCAAGGCAATTCATTTCATCACAATTATCCATAATCATATTTATAATTATGCTTCAAATTGGGTTGTTAGCCTTGGTGCACACCATACTGGCGGGCACGTGCCAGTCACGGTCTAGTCCAATATTTCCGAATGCCGTGTAATGCTTCTATATTTCTATAGAAGCATTCAAACCATCCGTGCAAGGCACCTGTCATGCCAGGTACAGTCAAGCCACGATCAATGCGAACAATGTTTTAACCGGTCGCCAATTATATTTTTGTCGACTACCGTATACCAGATTGCCAGGTCAACATACCAGATTTTTAGCAAATATACAAAAAAGAAAATATTCATACTAGGCACCATCTACCCGATTTGTCAAATCTGGTACGCTGTTCGGACTGGCATAGCACATGATATGAACGGAACAGAAGTGAGGGCGACCCGTGACCGGACCGAACATATGGATGCACCTGCATGGCAGGGAACGGACCGTGACTGGCATATGCCTGGCACGTGCCCGGCAGTATGGGGTGAAGCAAAGCCTAAACCACCATAGGATCAGCAGTACTTCGGCAACAAAGATCTTAATGTATGACAATTAAATATAGCAATTATAAGATATAGCAATGGTTCAAAATCCAATTTAGTGCTCACGAACCACCACAATTTTCAGCAACGGGGGTATGATTTCGCCAGCACTATAGGTGAAAACAGACAGGCTGGAGCCCAGAGATCGCAGGGAAGTGGGGAAGAGTTCGCCACAGAACAAAATATTCACCTGTGAACAAGATGGGAACCTCAATGAAGCAAATCTAAGTGTCATTTGGTGAACTCGAAATGTACTGGAAAATTTCAATACTCCTGAAACGTTTAACTTAATTTATACTTACTTCACGAATTGGTTTAATTTAGTTTTTCCATTCCGAGTTACGATTATATTGTATCTCATGCTTGAGGATATTAACATGTTTGAGCTGATTGTTTTTTTAAACATTGGTTTCATGCCGTCCACTTCATGTGAAACCCTCATTTTCATTTAGCTGTTTAGCAGCTATGAGTCATTTCGAGAATTTAATATTTATATGGCGTAAATCACGCGGATGAACTGATACTCCAGTCCAGCGGCTGAGCGGAGCCGAGCGCCACAGCAAGAAGTGGAGGACACCGCTTGGTTTGCCTTTAATTTTGCTCAGTTCGGCTCGCCTTTAATCTGTTCGGCTCGTTAGGCCCCAGACACTGGCGCATTTGGTACGTTTAAAGATGACGGAATTAGACTCGCCAGACGATCAGATTCCATATAGTGTATGAGGCCCTATTCAATTGGTCTCCGTTAAACCGTGGTCGAGAGCGGACGCTCGTGCTCGTGGTCCCAAATTTCTAAATTTTTAACTTTTCACTGTGCCGTTTTCGGAACTCTTTTCGCATTTTTTTATGATCCGTGCCAGAGAATAACCGAATTTCAGTTCAGTTCAGTGAAGTCAGTAAAAGTGAGTGCAAATAGAATGAACAAGCCAAACAAGTGAAAGTGTTTTCATTTTTAAATAACGCGGACTTGTAGAGNTGGTTACATAGATTATGGTAGATGGGGAAAAGCTAGACAAGTTTAGGCAAAATCAACAATGTGAAATACAGAGAGAGTAGGCAAGGTTTTAAAATATATGGAAGTGGTCAATTCTTTTGATGTTTTCGGAATTGCGTTTGAGTTTAAATACGATATTGGCAGAGTGAGCTGATGATTGCTTGAGTGCTGTCTAATGTTGCAATTGATTAGATATGAATTGTGACTGTGAGTATTGGAATTCTTTACAGGAGTTGTTTTGGTGGAAGTGTGCTATTTTAATGATTCCTTTTTGAAATTGATTGTTTTTAGAAGTGATAAGATATAGAACTGTGAGTATATATTGTATATGCCTTAATGATGGAGTTGTTTAATTGTGGTGAGTGAATTGGTTATGATGTGAAAAGAGTGCGCTGGTGATTGAATTGACTAGGTGTGTTATTGATGAGATTTATATTATTATATTGAGCTGTTTCTATGCAGGTAATGTTGAAATTATATGTGTGAAAAGGGACTGTTGCGGCATGATAGTCCCTGATGTGCTGGTTAGTGAAGGACCAGTAAAGTTTTATTATGAATCACGTTCTTCAGATTTGATCTTCAAATATAACTGTGTATGCAAAATCATTTCAAATTAAATAGAAACTCATTTGAAACCCTTGAATCCAAAAGTAATAAAACCTCTCTATGTCTGTCGGGCAATTTACTAATGCAAACTAGGCTATATAATTGCTTTTTCTCTTGGTACAAACAAGATAACTTTATTATAAAAAATGCCTTTCATGTCAACTCTCAACAATATTATTATCTTGAACTCAGATTTAAATGTTTCATTTCAGTTGGGTTACACAGATAGTGTGTACTACGTTAGTCAATATGGTTCTATAGTTAACGTATATTCGTACCTGATATACGCTGCAGATCATCGTGTACCCAAGCGCGACGAGCAAAATCTGAAGCCAATCTGGAATTTATTCCATCAATTTATATTTATTATTTAATCATTTATACATTTGTTTGTTACTTTTTTATTTACTTACATTCAAACTTTTAGAGTAGTGCTACAAGCGATGTCATTATGTCATCATTTTCCTCTGATCATAGATACCAAAATGCGTGAATCTTGTAGTTACTCACAATTTCGGTATCCTGTGACAGTGAGAACAACAACGGTGATTTGCAGAACACATGCAAGAAGAAGTCCTCCTATGAGGAACTTTTTCCTGCCCAACCTCGCAGTGATGGGAGCCGTGACCGAATAGGCAGGGATTTCCGCAACACCCAACACGGCCATATACACGTAGGGTGAGCTAACGGGAGCAAGGGTGCAACTATGAATCGCGTAATTTTCGCAGGCAAGCAAGTCGTGTCATTTTGGGATTCATTTATTTTTTCGTTCTTGCGCAGCAAGCGCATTTAGAATAAAGCATAGATAGGCAGTCTTAAATTGATTTTTTAAGCTTTTGACGTACGGGAATTTGTCAGCGCTGAGCGGTATGCTGATGTACAGGCAACTCTGCATCAGCCACACAGGCACCAGAATGCCGGTCACTCTGCGCAGGTACGGCGACGACACCAGTGACTTGAAGCGTGACAAGAACGTAGAAGATGGTTTCTCCTCACAATCTTTCTGTGGTTTAGGTATAGAGCTTCCTCAAATCGAAAGTTGGAGGAGAATTTTAAAACGAAAAAAACTTCAAGTAAATTCTCCATATGTTCATTAAAAAGTTTTGAAGCCAACTCCATTATTAACTAAAACATTTATAGAATACAAGTAAAATCAATAGAAGAAAGGCACATTTATACGAAAGGGATTACAACCTACGTACCTAAATAGCGTACCAAAGAACATAAGAACTTAATCATTGAGAAGGGAATAATGATTACTTTCCTAATTTTCGTCTGATCACAGTCTGACAACTGTACGCTGAATCGAGAAAAGGCTACCAATGGAAAAAATATTCCTAGTAAAAAACACCTAAATATGTAACGCACACACGCGTCACACTGTAAGCTAAGAAACATTTTCTAAATTTGCGACCGTGTTCACCCCTTTGATGTTTACTGCATAAATGTCTTCCAGTACGCCCATCAAATTGTCCGGCAAGTTGTACGTCGTTTTGTTCCACTTCGCGACTCGGAGCAGCGAAGCTTCGGCTTCTTTAAGCCGTCCCCGAGTAACTAGCCAACGTGGAGATTCTTTCAGTAAACTGCGCATAGATTGGAAAATTATAAAATTGAGATACAGTTTAACTTTGCTAACTTGTAAGTATAAGAAAATAATTTACTCAAAGGATCTTCTGAGGAATGCATACTAATTTTGGTAACGTGAAAGTTGACAGGAATAGTATAAAAGATGCATATACTCACAGAGGATTACTTAAAAGAAGCAGCAATACAATGGGGAAGGAACCAGCTAGTTGGAACGTCCGCCAGTCAGGACAAGCATAACCTAGTCCGGCTAACAGACTGATCATTATGGCCCACGGCAAACCTACGCACACGCCATAGGTGGACCGCAAGGTCATCGGGCAGAATTCTAAACCTGCAAAGCAATCCGGATTGAGAGAAGAACAATTGCATCGCAATAACGGTCAGTAAACATTTTATACAACATAACTCATAATAATAATATTATATGATCTATGATGTCAGCATTTCTTCGGGCAAGTCGACCTTTCGTCGATTTCTCACCACCCGGCCACCTTGCAGATTTCGACCAGAATTGTTCAAAACCACTTGCTGATCTATAACCCACAACTCGCTTCATGAATTTTATGAATATTAATCATTTGGTCACCCCTAGTTCGGAACTCTCATATAGAAGAGACACAGAGCCCCGAAGATTAAAACTGTTTGAACATTTTCTGTTTGAACATTTTCTTCTAAACATCAACGTTACAATTTCGCTGCTGTAAAATAGTACATCCCATCAACACGTTGGAGGGCCCTCTCTACATGATGAGCGCAGTAACTCACCTATGGCGTATACAGGCGCATATATGAACATTGTCGAGAAACCGATGAAGAATCGGCAGACGAGGATGCTTGTCAGGTTCGGTATAGTGACGAGGAGTGTGGTGAAAAATGCCACCAGTGCCGAGCCGTACCACACGGTGGGTTGTCGGCCAAGCCTGGCGAAACACGTGCATTAGGAAGCGACATTTTGTAACTTTTACTGTGATTGTTAGTAGCATTCCACGTCGATTAAAGGAAATCTGAAATTTCAGCTGTAATATCTATTTTTATAACACAGGTATTAATCTGGCTTCATTTGATTCTTTGTCAAGGAGAATGTCAGAGTTTAATTTATGCATGCGACATGATATAAATCACTCCAGCTACCGAGAAATGGAATTATTGTAACGACAAATTGAAATGCCTGCGATAATTTGAGTGACTGTATGGAATGGCAAGAGCAAAATTAAATGACGACGATATCGTTTATGTGACTTGTTCATGTTTTTAACAAGACCTCAATTATTCTGCGTCAGGATGAAGTATTTATGGTAGTGTAACTTTCTCATTAAATTCAGACCTATGCATACGGCGACTTTACTCATGCTGTGTGATATGACATTGTATAAAATATGTATGCATGAGTGGGTTCAATTTAATACACCGATTCACTAAATGTAATCAGCATTTGAATTACATGAAAGAATCAGTCTTGGATTCAGAGTTTGACTACTGTCAATAAAGTATTTGCGATCGGCTTGTATGCCTTCTCATTTTTGGCGTTCATCCCTTTTTCTTATTAAAAACCAAACAAGAACTATGGGCTCTATGAGCCATCGAGCACCCAATATATCAATTAATATCATTTAGAATTGCTTTAATTTATTGAATGAATATTTTCCGCAGAGCGACTATCATAATAATGAGTCAAAGAGCGGATTTCTATTCATAAGGTCATAATCTCTTTGAAATTCAAGACTTACGAAAAGCCATAAACTTTTTGGCTGAAACTAATCAGTCTAATCGAGGCTAGTATCAAATTTGCCAAATCTACATCGGCGGCCTAAACTGCAAGGTACTTTCAGTTTTATTAACGAAGTCTCATGATGCCCTTTACTGACTGTTACCGATGAATCACGAATGATTCAATGTCTTGCAGCAGAGTTTTTCTTTACATGCCATACAATACCCGGACCTTATGAGGCAGAACGTTCTATTCCCTCACTTGTCGGCCAGCAGCCCCCCGACAGGACAGCCCACCATGCAGCCAATTGTATACAGCATTTGAAAGAGCTCCCGGACGTAGGCTTTCGAACACTCCAGCTCAAACTGTAGTGAGATGTTATATACGTTACATTGGTGATTAAAATGAGATCATAGTATTTCATTCTTTTCTCAAGTTCCTATTAATCTGCTTTGTCAAAAATAGTGAGACATGGACTCGTAACATTCATCAAAGAATGTCTATTTTTTTACAATGTTGTTATTTGAAACGTATTAAAGGCCAGGAATTTAAAAGCAAAGTAAATACCACAAAAATTCACCATATCTTTAGAAGAGAAAACGTTTCGGAGTCCAGCTCCATCGTCAGTTCATAACACAAAATTCTGTTCAGAAAAAGTTCAGTCCTAGAAACACAAATAAATCAATTAGTAAAGTAAAATGCACTGTAAGGTTTTGAAAAAGTTCAGAAAAAGTTCAGTCCTAGAAACACAAATAAATCAATTAGTAGAATAAAATGCACTGGCAGGTTTCAAAACGGAAAATAAATAAGACATGAAAATTATATTATTAATTATAATATTTTCCGTTTTGAAACCTGACAGTGCATTTTACTTTACTAATTTATTTATTTATGTTTCTAGGACTGAACTTTTTCTGAACAGAATTTTGTGTTATGAACTGACGTGGAGCTCGACTCCGAAACGTTTTCTCTTATAAAGATATGGTGAATATTTGTGGTATTTTCTTTGCTTTTAAATTCCTGGTAAACTTGCGATTGAAGCAAACAAGCGATTTTAATATATTAAATGCCATCTTAAACATGCAATTTCATTTCAATTTGAAGGGCTCCAATGTTGAAGTTTAGAGGTTGGAATTGGAAAATTCAAGTATTTTGCAGTTCACACTTACCTTCGACGAATCTATAACAATTCATAATGTTTAATTTCTGATATTCCACTGAAGGCCACGAAATTACTTGCCTCTTCTGTCAGGGTGAAGTGATAAATTTCATTCGAAAATTGATAAAGATTACAGCTCCGTGTTTCGTTTGGCTCTCCTCCCGCCGGCCCCACGATGCATTCCGAACTGCTTTTAGGAATAAAAAGATTATATTGCTCACTCTATTAGTGATTTATTCTGAGGCGAACAATATGAGATAATATAGCTCACTCGATCAGGTTCTGATTTCTTTTCAGTAAGACTTTGATCATTGAAAATTCTCGCTTCACATCTTTGAAATGCCAGTTAATTCAAACTAATTAGATATAATGACTTTTACAGAAGGAAAACTATTTACGTAACGGGTTTGTTAAGCGAATTGGTGTATCTGTCCTGCGCAGCGGCCTCCATGGTAAGGCTTGGGTGGAGTGAAGTGGACTTGGGCATGGGACTTAAGGCCCTGATTGAAAGCCGAGAGGCTTCGAACAGGCTCGGCTCTTCCCTAAGCGTTTCTTCACTAATTAGGATAGACTTTACTCCACTCGCAAATGAGATGGCGATATGGATTTTTCCATACTTATCCAGCTATTTATTTATAAGCGTCGACCAGTAACAAAAAATATGTAAACTTTGTATTTAAAGAGTTTTAATGAGAGGAAATTTCAAGAAACTTTGAATATTATTGTTCATCAAGTCTGCGAATTTTACACTTTTTTCGATATATAAACGGGTTGTAATTTTTATTGTCAATTGAATAGTATATTCGGCATTCCTTGATCAGCTTCCTTGTTATAGATATTTTCCACCAAAAAATATTTATGATCGAGTCTGCTGATACGCGGAGGGAAAATCCCGCATACTAGCTGCTCAAATGGAGACGTTGTGCAATGTTTGAGGGGAAAGAGACGTCGTAAATTACTCCAACTGTCAATTCACAACGGGTGGCATGGTAAAGGCGAAGTCAATGAGGGGCGAAGAATAATACGTGGCCAGTGGTCGGCCTATCCAATTAGTTATAGCCGACCGCTGGCCATTCCTCGGCCACCTGAAAGCGACCAGTTGCCGCGAAGAAGGGTCTGGCTAGGATATCATATTACAAAGAGTACAAGCTCGAGGGTAACGACCGGCCGAGCTTCGGGCAGATCAAGGATTTTACACGATGGTCGCGAAAACCTCGCTCTCAGACTTC